CCCGCCTGGCCCGCAGCTCCCGGCGTGGCGAGCAGGGGCGAGGGCGGTGGCCTCACAGGGACACGCCCCCGCGACGCCCCGCCCACCGCCCCGGAGCTCCCCGGCTGCGCCCGTGCGCAGCTGCGGACCACCTGGGATGAGCTGATGCAAAGTTAACCCCGGGTTCGCGCACCGTGGCCCCTTCCCAAAGCCCAGGCCCTGGTGTCGCGTCTATTGCCCGATAAACAATAGCAAGGCGCTTTGCTGGAGACTTGAATTTGTTTTCATAGTGAACCCCCACATTGTGTTTTACTCTAGTATAAAATCTGGAAAACAACCCCGAAAACAATCTGGGTTCTTGCCCAGATGCCTCCGCTTCTTAGCGGTTGGCCTTAGCACGTTTGCCTCGGTGCCTCAGTTTGCTCATCTGTTCCGAAAAGGAAATAACCTCTGCTTAATAGGGTTATGTGAGACGTCCACGCCACACTTGTAAGGCACTTAGCGGAATGCCTCATATGTCAAAAGCACTCAGTAAAAATGAACTGTCATTATTTTATAACAGTGCTCTCCATGCAAGTGCCTCCGTATTAGTCAATTACAAACACTAAGTGCTAAAATGACTCATTACAGACGGAGCAAGTCGGATTGTACTGCCCTTTGCGGAGCTTGTTGACTGCTTGGGGTCACTAACACGAGCCGTACATAACTGGAAAATGGGATCGAGGAAGGCTCCCAACCCTGTGTTGTTGGGGTGGGATAGGGCAGATAGGACCCAGGAAGCTTTCTCCTAGAGAAAACGGATAATTCCGTGGAACGGAATACAGGAGAGGAGGAAGAGCGGACATCACAGGCCCTGGAAACACACCTTTCTTTAGAGGCCCAGAGAGGAAGGACTCAGTACCTATGACAGAAAGCTCTGGGAGCCCCTAAGTAGACGGGAAGGAAGACTAGCAAGAAGGGGTCTGTAACAAAGAATCAGAAGCCAGAGGGGTGAAGGATTTGGCCTTGAGATTGAGTCCAGGAGACGCCCTTGAGTAGGGAACTGTGGCTAACAGATGTGCATTTTATGAAACCACTTGGCTTAGGAGTGGAGGGTGGGTGGAGGAATTTTCCGGAAGACTGAAAATGTCATGGCCAAGGATAGGTGAAAAAAATCCAGGAAATGGAAGTTAACCAAGACCACACAGGCAGCTACGGGGACAGAGTGGGTTGAGCAGGCCTTGGTGTCACCCCATGAGATGTCCAGGTGAGTGTGAGAGAGTCTTGGCGACAGAGATCAGGACTCACAGGATGAGGATGGAGGTTTGAGCTTGAGATGCCCAAGCTGCATCATGATTGGCTAGCCATGTCCAAACAAACAACCAACAGATTTCAGAACTCAGAGAGGGACTTATTGGATTGCATGAGAGCAAAACTGTGTACTGAAAGAAAACCTTGACGGGCCAGGGAGATGGCTCATTTGGTAAAGCGCTTGCCATGGAAATGTGAGGACCTGAATTTGATCCCCAGAACCCACATTAAAAAAATGATGTGGATGGCACTTGAGGGGCCATGACTTGTTGTCCTCTGAGTTCTACATACAAGGGCGCATAAATGCACACATATCCACAAACAAAATGAATGTACTGATAACTCACCCATCCCCCCAAAGTCAATACCTGTATTATACAAGACAATGAAGACCTTGTCATAGGGGTACCCAGATAACTGGAAAGTCTGTTTGTCCTTTCCCTTCTCCCTTGGCTGTAAATTCCATGAAGCCAGTTCGTCCTGTAATTATCATTTATCCACAGACAACTCTTGGCATTTGATCTGCATATGTAATTGAACTATAAATACCTCTATCGTATCAAATTGAATATTTATCGCATATTTAAAGTATTGTATTGAAAATCTCCTCTCATAGATGACATATTCCCTCTTTCCCCCAAGACAACAGAGGCTCTGGTGTCTCTCAGCTCTTGCTAAGTAGATGCCTTTGTTTATTTCCTAAACATCTATGTGTGAAGAAATGTCTCTGTTCTCTTAGTACATTCTTGTGAGAAACAGACAATGAGACAAATTAATGTATTACACAATGGCATGTGTGCTAAAGAAAGTGAGGTGATGGAATAGTGTGTGTGTGTGTGTGTGTGTGTGTGTGTGTGTGTGTGTGTGTGTGTGGTGGGTGAGGCGAGACAGGAATTCTGTTCTAGGTGGGCTGGTCAAGGAGGATCTCTCGGGGAGGTATTAAAACAGAAACCTGATTTAGACACAGGGAGGAGGAGGAAATGGCGATGTCTGAAGGAAGAGTGTCATAGCTGTAGGAGACAGCAAGTGCTAGGCCAGTTAACATGCTCTGAAATTAAAAGGGTTTTTTTTCTTTTTTTTTTTTTTT